TGAAGCAAGACTAAAGGGGAGGGGGGGAAAGCTCAGGAGTGCTGGCAATTTCTTCAATAAACAGATTAAGACCAGATGTGGCAAAAAGAAGTGGAGGAAAAAGACAAACACGGCTAAATCATGACTTTTTCTCTCACTGGAAACTCAAGGAATCGCAATGGGAACAGAAACCAGGGCAAAGCAGAGCAGCAACATGAAGGACTGAAAGCAGAAATCCCAAATTGCAAAATGAGCTCTCCCTGGGAAGGCCAAAGGACCAGGAAAGCATCCTGTAACAGCAAGGGGAAAACCCAGAAGGTCCAGCTACCAAAAGAGAAGGAAACACTAAAACCAGATGACAAAACATTTAGTGCCTTTTTATTCCAGTCATCAGTAAAAGAATTAGTTGCGATGAGATCATTAGCACAATTAAGAAACAAAAGAGAGATGAACTTCCACAGCTGGGGAGAGGTGTAAAGAGAACTCTCAGATAAATTAGACGTTTTCAGAGTAGCGAGGATTGAATTAACCCAGGGCTGCTGAGGCTAGAATAGCAAACGCTGCCTATTTTTAAAAGGGAAAAATGGAGAAACCAGGAAATTAGGATAAAATAACATGACCTCAACTTCTGCAAACATACTGGCACATGTTAGTACATACTTGGAAGATGAGGCAGCAGGTAGAGGTCAACACATTATTTTGCCTTAATAAAATAATATTTAAGCAACATATTTTCTTTTTATTATCACTTGTTATTCCAAAGAGGGAAAATAATACACATCTTAAAATTAATATATAACTTCTGAAAATTCCCTTGCATTAGTAGGGAAATACGGTCTCTGTAAACCAACCATAAGAAAAGCGGCGAAGTTGACTGGAGGAGGGGCGGAAATCATATTCAAATAATTACTGTTGATAATTCACTGCTGAAACAAAAAGTATAGAGTGGAGTTTCCTCGGTGGCCGTCAGGAGTAAACAATAATACATGCTTATAACTTTGTAGAAAACAGCTAGCACATTCAGGCATTTAAGAGTTTAATTTAAAAAGCCTTCTTGCATTGAAAACAGTCAGAAAGAAATAAACTGAAGTAAGGATAAGGGGAACCACTACACTTAACAACAAGCTGGGGCAAAACAAGAGATAGGGATCAATCCTCTGGGCAGCAGCTGCGTGTAAAACACTTGGGTTACCACCATCTACCTCAAACGAAAGGCATCTCACAAACACAAAATTTCCAGTTCACTGCATGTGAAAAGTATGAATTACTCCCTTCCTGCTAATTAATGCTGGTAGGGCTCAGGTGCAGTTCTGTTTGGGAGTACCATACCAGCAAAGACATGGCTTAGTCTGGAGAAAACAAATAAATGAAAAAGTCAGATGCCTAAAAATCAAGATTTAAAAAGGAAAGCTGAAAGAATCAGGGTAACAGTCCAGGGAGAAAAGAATGGGGAAAAACCTAGTAACAGGATTCAAATACAGCAATTTCCTAATCTTACTGGGAATGGGCTATGTAGTAAAGCAAAGAGGAAACACAGGTTAGACATCAGGATGAAAACAATTTACACACTGCTTAACATTAAAACAGATTTGTCAGGGAGATAGCAGAATCTCCATCATTACTGTCCAGCTTATTAAAACACTAAACGATAGGACAAGATGGGAATTGAGCAGAGTGGATCCTGCTGGGGAAAAGCAGGTAACCTAAGGGATTTTCACAGTTTCTTCTGCCTCATTTTGCTACACCAAGGCCAAGATATGTATAATCCAACCTACCTCGCTTATTCACCTTATGCGGAGATTGGCTTGAAAGAATAATGCAATCATCTGACTCGCAGGTTGTAGACGAACTGATTTCATCAACATCCTATAAATTAAGACAATTTTTTTAGGGCAAAGAGAAAACTCTCCAGTTGATTAAGTTCTCAGACAGCAGCTACAGAATCACATACAGTTCAAGTGACCTTCACAACGAGCATTAATTGATATTATGAAGTGTTACCAACGGCTGTATTTTCCAATAACAAAACATGGTCTTAGCAGACTATCTGTCTCACCGTTATTAAAGTTACACCTGAATGCTGAATTTGAAAATGTTGCTGAAAATGTTGCACCCCTGTACTGAGGAAAAATTCATTTCCTGCAGGTTACTCACAGCCCGAAGGAGTACCATCGACATTTCTCATCTGCCTGCCTTTGACTACTCTAAGACCAAGATGTTGACAAACAATTATCATGTTTTTTTGATTCTCAACACCTACTTACGCCCCTGCTTTTGTTTTAGTGCAGGATGTGTTGTTTGTTTGTTTGGGTTTTTTTCTTTTAAGTAAAACTTAGCTGTAGAGGTTTGTATTATTTCTTCACCTTCGCATTTCTGGGACTCTGCTTCATTCTCTGTCTACAACTATGCATCTTCACAGCTTTTGGAAGCCTCTCGCAAACATTCTGTAAAAATGAAAGTTTGCCAAACTGATTTTTGCCTTGAACTCTGCTCTTTTTGTACATGACAGTGTATTATTTACCACCTCATCAGGAACCCTAGACAGCCATCAGGTAAAGCAACCGGCTCTCGCAGAATCGGAGACTAGATGGAAGCCCAGACTTGGCCTCTATTCAGTTTGCAGTAACAAAATCACTAACTTCCCTTTCAAACACTCCATGCTTCTGGTTAACCTCTGAGAAATAGTCTGCAAACACAAAAAATTGCCATCACAGCAGAATCAAATGCTTTCATTTTTTTTTCACTGCACGTGCAAAATGAGATTGCACAAGCTAACATTTGTGTTTTATTAATGCTGCATTGTAAAAACATATTGACAATCAAATCAGGAATGTGAGAGATACTAAAACAGTGCAGGTGAACAAAGGAGGCAATAAACTGTCCTTTATTGAACCAACACAGGAATATAAAACACATTAGCCCTATAAAAACAGCTTCCCATCTTGTTCACTGCTTCCTTTCAATGCCCAGTATAAAATACTACGGTAGTATTCCAGTGGCTTTTCCTACTTTCCTACATTTTAGATGCCAGAATGCAACAGCAAAATATGACATTAAGTGTAATGAAATAGTTTGCAAACCTGTTCCAAATTTGTATTTTACTGCTGCACTCATTCCATTGCCACCCTTACCTTTCACACCTAAGCCCCAAGTTAGAAAACAAAATCCATGTCCCAAGCTAAACAATTCTCTAGGAAATTATAAAATTAAAAGCGAGGTCTGGCAAGCATTACTAACGGGTTGGGAATAAGCGAGCCTCATTGCAAAGTTTAACCATTCCAGCACTGCTAAACATATTTGCACAAGAATCAAATGCATGTTTTTAAAAAAAAAAAAAAAAAAAAAAAAAAAAAAAGCCCAAAACAACACTTTTCTATCACCAGGAGTATTCACTGTTAAGGTAGCAACAGATAAAAATTGCTTATACCTCTTCAGTGATATACAAAAAGGTTATAGTTCTTCAAACAGAGACCAGCTCAGAAAACTCACTGTTGGTTTGTTAAAGCACGAGAAACGGGGGCTTAGTCTCACTTCCTTGCAGAAGGGAGTTGCAGAACGAACACACATAGTTCC